ATTTTAAGCCGTTATGAAGTGAAAACATGTTGATTCAGTCTCCCTTACATTTCAGATGTTAATGTTACACTAAAAAACTAGTTTTTTTGTCACACAAGCAGAGATTTCTCATCCTTTTTCTTACTAATGGTCACATTTTGATGAAAATTTCAATTGTCACCAAGCTCTTCAGCATAATGTGTCATAAAGTCAGACTGATTGTTTTCGTTGTTATTGATCTGGTGTTGGTTTATTTCCATTTTTCATGTGAGCTGGGACTGATTCATGTTGAAAATCTAAATATTAAGCCGGATTTTTCCAAATTACACACAATGGTTGGACCGCAGCAGTCACAGGCCGCATTTACAGGTTAAGATGGAGATTTAATTGTGTTTGTTTGACTTTGTCCTGTTTTTCTTTGATTTTTAAGGGGTGAGATATTTTCTAACTGTGCATAAAAGTGAAGGAGACGCAGAAAAACATGACAGAGTTGATAATTAAGCTGTAAATAAGTTCAGGGCGGATCCGTGTCCCATGATGATGATGATTAATGAAAAGGTTTCGGTGATTTAAATAAAGCACTAACATTCACCCATCTGAGTCAGCGTTTTCTTTTCTAACCTCATTTTTGGTCAAATTTGTTGAATCGCTTTTTAATATCTTTTTTAAAAAGATCATGCGAGGATCAAATATTTTCACTCTTTTAAGTTTTTGTCACATTTCAAACAAAAACTTCAATGTATTTTATAAAATGTATTTTATTTCATGACAGACCAACACAAAATGGAATGAATTTGTTACATTTATCAATTCAAATTGCATGTAAAGTATCTTAAAATTAAATTGATTGGAGGCACACCTTCCCCAGCCGGTGTTGTAAAGAAAAATGGACAAAAAGTTTGTAGACATTAAAAGCTGGTTGCCATTTGTTTATTGACATCCCAGCTTTGCTGTTAGTCTGTTAAAATAAGACAATATGACTCAGTTACCTCCATCTTTCATGATATCAAATTATTCTGACATTCACATTTCATAATAAATCCAATTTAAAATGTTGGCGTGATGTCTGCAAAAAAACTAAAGCATATGTGTTTCTCTCATTGTTTTTATGTAATGACCATATAATTTGTAAAAACATCAAAAAAAGCAATAAAAAATACATCTGGTTGTGAAAAATGTTTAGAAAGTTTCATAGCACTCTGTAATGCATGTAGAAAAATAAAGCAGATCTGTTTATTTTTCAAATTTTTAATGTATTTTATTTCTAAAAACAACCAAAAGAAATCTCAGTACACAA